TAGTCTCTAAGGTGGCACAAGTACTCCTTTTCTTTTTGCGAATACAGACTAACACGGCTGTTCCTCTGAAACCTGTCATTATGCAAGGCACTGCATTTAGCCGTATGGAGTGGAAATCTATCAACTGCATGAAAAAACTTGTACAGATACAGACAGACATCATCTTCCTTTCCAAATGCAAACAGATGGACATCGTACCAAAAGGACTGAAGGTAAAAAATCCATTACAATCTACATACCACACAGACTATGCTGACAGCTTGTGCCTCACGCTCTCAAAGAAACTGTGGAATCACCTGATCAAGATCCTCTACAGCAAACAGGGAAAGATTAAGAATGAGCTCTCAAAAATGGATACTCTCATAAAGAACCAACCTTCCACACAAACTTCCTCGTGGCTGGATTTTACTAAAACTAGACAAGCCATTTACAACGCACACTTTGCTTCTCTACAAAAGAAAAAGGACACTAAACTTTCTAAACTACTACATGCTACAAGGGGCCACAGCAATGGTTCCCTCACCCCACCTAGCAATATTGTTAACCTATCCAACTATACTCTCAGCCCAGCAGAAGCAGCTGTTCTATCTCGGGGCCTCTCCTTCTGCCCCTCCACCCCCACGAACATGATACAGTTCTGTGGTGACCTAGAATCCTATTTTCGACGTCTCCGTCTCAAGGAATATTTCCAAAATACCTCTGAACAACATACTAATCCACAGAGGTCTCCCTGCCAACACTACAGAAAGAGGGATTCTAGATGGACTCCTCCTGAAGGTCGAAACAGCAGACTGGACTTCTACATAGAGTGCTTCCGCCGACGTGCACGGGCTGAAATTGTGGAAAAGCAGCATCACTTGCCCCATAACCTCAGCCATGCGGAACGCAATGCCATCCACAGCCTCAGAAACAACTCTGACATCATAATCAAAAAGGCTGACAAAGGAGGTGCTGTTGTCATCATGAATAGGTCGGAATATGAACAAGAGGCTGCTCGGCAGCTCTCCAACACGAGTTTCTACAAGCCATTACCCTATGATCCCACTGAGAGTTACCAAAAGCAACTACAGCATTTGCTCAAGAAACTTCCTGAAAAAGCACAAGATCAAATCCGCACAGACACACCCCTGGAACCCCGACCTGGGATATTCTATCTACTACCCAAGATCCATAAACCTGGAAATCCTGGGCGCCCCATCATCTCAGGCATTGGCACCCTGACAGCAGGATTGTCTGGCTATGTAGACTCCCTCCTCAGGCCCTACGCTACCAGCACTCCCAGCTACCTTCGAGACACCACTGACTTCCTGAGGAAACTTCAATCCATCGGTGATCTTCCTGATAACACCATCCTGGCTACTATGGATGTAGAAGCCCTCTACACCAACATTCCACACAAAGATGGACTACAAGCCGTCAAGAACACTATCCCCGATAATGTCACGGCTAACCTGGTGGCTGAACTTTGTGACTTTGTCCTTACCCATAACTATTTCACATTTGGGGACAATGTATACCTTCAGATCAGCGGCACTGCTATGGGTACCCGCATGGCCCCACAGTATGCCAACATTTTTATGGCTGATTTAGAACAACGCTTCCTCAGCTCTCGTCCCCTAAAGCCCCTACTCTACTTGCACTATATTGATGACATCTTCATCATCTGGACCCATGGAAAAGAAGCCCTTGAGGAATTCCACCATGATTTCAACAATTTCCATCCCACCACCAACCTCAGCCTGGTCCAGTCCACACAAGAGATCCACTTCCTGGACACTACAGTGCTAATAAACAATGGCCACATAATCACCACCCTATACCGGAAACCTACTGACCGCTATTCCTACCTGCATGCCTCCAGCTTTCACCCTGACCACACCACACGATCCATCGTCTACAGCCAAGCTCTGCGATACAACCGCATTTGCTCCAACCCCTCAGACAGAGACAAACACCTACAAGATCTCTGTCAAGCTTTCTTACAACTACAATACCCACCTGCAGAAGTAAAGAAACAGATTGATAGAGCCAGAAGAGTTCCCAGAAGTTACCTACTACAGGACAGGCCTAACAAAGAAAATAACAGAACGCCACTAGCGGTCACCTTCAGCCCCCAACTAAAACCCCTCCAACGCATTATTAAGGATCTACAACCTATCCTAAAGGATGACCCAACACTCTCACAAGTCTTGGGAGACAGGCCAGTCCTTGCCTACAGACAGCCCCGCAACCTGAAGCAAATACTCACCAACAACCACATACCACACAACAGAACCACTAACCCAGGAACTTATCCTTGCAACAAAGCCCGTTGCCAATTGTGCCCACATATCTATTCAGGGGACACCATCACAGGGCCTAATAACATCAGCCACACTATCAGAGGCTCGTTCACCTGCACATCCACCAATGTGATATATGCCATCATGTGCCAGCAATGCCCCTCTGCCATGTACATTGGTCAAACTGGACAGTCTCTACGTAAAAGAATAAATGGACACAAATCAGATGTCAAGAATTATAACATTCATAAACCAGTCGGAGAACACTTCAATCTCTCTGGTCACGCAATCACAGACATGAAGGTCGCTATCTTAAAACAAAAAAACTTCAAATCCAGACTCCAGCGAGAAACTGCTGAATTGGAATTCATTTGCAAATTGGATACTATTAATTTAGGCTTAAATAGAGACTGGGAGTGGCTAAGTCATTATGCAAGGTAGCCTGTTTCCTCTTGTTTTTTCCTACCCCCCCCCCCAGATGTTCTGGTTTAACTTGGATTTAAACTTGGAGAGTGGTCAGTTTAGATGAGCTATTACCAGCAGGAGAGTGAGTTTGTGTGTGTATGGGGGTGGGGGGGATGTGAGAAAACCTGGATCTATGCAGGAAATAGCCCGACTTGATTATGTAAAGAGTTGTCACTTTGGATGGGCTAGCACCAGCAGGAGAGTGAATTTGTGTGGGGGGGTGGAGGGGAGAAAACCTGGATTTGTGCTGGAAATGGCCCACCTGTTGATCACTTTAGATAAGCTATTACCAGCAGGACAGTGGGGTGGGAGGAGGTATTGTTTCATATTCTCTGTGTGTATATAAAGTTTGCTGCAGTTTCCACGGTATGCATCTGATGAAGTGAGCTGTAGCTCACGAAAGCTCATGCTCAAATAAATTGGTTAGTCTCTAAGGTGGCACAAATACTCCTTTTCTTTTTGCGAATACAGACTAACACGGCTGTTCCTCTGAAACTTTTCTTCCTCTGTTTACTATAGCGGGAACAAGACTGGACCCCATATTTCTGTTTTGTTAATCTGTTATCATGATTAAGACAGATTCTCATTATAGGGAATGGAGATTTAGATATGTGATTCCCACTCACCTATTCTGTGCTTTGGGGCCATTTTAAATAGTGTGTACTCAATGAAGTTTTTTTTAAAAGCTAAGAGTGACTTAGCTTGGCTGCTGTGTTTTTTCAAGTATGTGATTCATGTGAGAGAGGTGTGAACCCTTCAGAGCCCCTACCATTATGTTAATTGTATTAACTCACAGATTTTTTTACTACTGATGTTTAATAACATTTTAACCATAGTGTTGGCAGAGACTATCATGTTTTAAAACGTGTTGGCTGGTTATGATTAAGCTTAGCTAACATATTTTTAAACATGACTTATCCATGTGTTCATTAAGCACTAAGGCCAAGATCCTCAAAGGTATTATCCTCCTAACTTCCACTCAAATCAATGGAAGTTAGGACCTTAAATATCTGAGGATTTGGGCATCAGTATTGTTCAACATCATGTTAGTTAAAACACTCCAACACAGTGGGGCCCAACCTTATTACGCAGAAGGGCCCATAAACCTAAGCACAACCTTGTGTGGGCCAAACAGATTTTCCACCTCAGGACTGACAGCCCAAGCCCCATCGCAGGCCTCATGAAAAGCTTTGGTGGGTCATGCACAGCCCATGGGCGGTAGGTTGGGCACCCTGGCACTAAAGCAATTTTTTAACCTGGCACAATTTCCTAGCGGACACATGGCTCATGTCTTCGCAGGGACTTGGAATGGCTCCAGGATGTGCAAGCAGAGGGATTTTTTGAAGGATGGTTAGTGGAGAAAAAGGGTAGGTCTGAAACAGTTGAGATGGGGTTGGAAATGGGAGAGGAGATGAGTATTACTTGGAGTTTTAAAAATTTGCTTCCATCACCACGAACATGTGTACAAGGTGCCCAAGAAGAGACAGCCCATGCCTGCTGACTGCAGGGGGGTTGGTGCCACTACAACTGTTTTTGGTAGACTATCATAGGGCTGCATCCCCTGAAGGTGATGTTGGGGAGAGGGGCATTACCACATTCCCTCCCCTGTTCCTCATATACACCTCTATAACTTACATCACTTGCCCAATTTGAAAAAAAATATATGGTTACTCTAATCTGCTCCAAATGAGGTTTCTCAGGTCCTATGGTAAAGTATAATGAAAAAGTGCCTTAAAGCCACCTTTCTCTCCCCTCTCCTGAGCTATGCCTAACACAAGCTTGGTAAAATTGAAAATCTCATCAGTGTTAAGGCACACAGAATTGTTGCTTTAATCTAAGTTATGTACAATGTCTTCACACTACAGTTTAAGTATTACACCACAACATTTATAATGAATGCTAATAATAAAAAAGTTGTTCAACTAAGTGATTATTTCTAATTAAATGTGACTGTTATCTGTGTGGCTTTGCAACACTAGATCACAAATATCTATATATATTTTTTACAATAAAAATAATGTCCAGTCCACTTACTTGATACAGCCCAAAACATAATTCCAGTAGAAAAGTGGTAAAAGAAAATCCATATTATTAAAGTTACTCCTTCTTCAATTATTTATTTAAATAAATAACAAACACATAAATATGTGTTTCTCCTCTCTCTAGAATAATAAATGCTTTTCAAGTTCTGGTTGGCTGAAGTTTTTATATTTTGAAGTACTGAATTAGTTTACCATATATTAAATTACTTACACTGAATCCTCCAATTATATTGAGACACAATCCTTCATTCAGACAGTTGATGCTGAGCAGCCTGCAGTAGTCAATTGCTTCCTCACAGTTCTTTCCAGTGAATCCTGGCAAGCAGCTGCAAATACACCAGTGTATTTTAGAAGACTCAGATTTTCAAGTTAATTGCATTTAATTAGGTTCCAAAATTCGATTAAATATGTTCTTCCAGTAACTAAGCAGATCTTATCCGTTATTTAAAAAACAATATATAAAACATGTTTCCAAGCAACTAACAATCGGTTGTTTGATTCTGGATATTTTCACTTCTGCACAGAATAAAAAAAAAACCCATTCATTAAAAGAAAAGCTTTTTTTTATATCAGAGCTTAATATATTCTGGGTACTTAAATATAAAATAAACCTTGAGCTAAGCTGATATTTAACAGTAAACTATATATACAAATTTGGAAAGCTTTTAGAATGGATGAGTCTATTACTGAATAGTGGGGAAAATGATGACAAATGAGATTTAGAACAGGGAACACAGTCATTACACACTGATGATTAGCAAACAATAGTCAATAATGAGAAATCTGAGTTTGAAGAAAATGTGGGGAGCCTCTGCAGAGGATAAAGCATGACTGCTGTTGTATTTGTTTAATTCTAATGGTAGATTTTCTTTTAAAAAGGAAACTAGCATTCTGCTCTGTGTCCGTTTGTCAGCTCAATGTTCTGCCAATGAAGGAATGGTTAGTTCTGTCATGGCATAGGAAGCTCTGTGAAGTTCTTCTGGCTCACCGTCAGTGCTTGTCACTAGTAAGGTAAAGTTCTTTTCTTATCTTTTCTTTTCTGCCAGTTTTTTTTTTTAAAGCCCTTTCATATTGAAAAAGAATGGGAGTTAAATTCATATTAAGTTAGCATTGTTCAAGAGAGACAGCCAAATATTGCAGAACCAGTAAATATTTAATAATTGCGTATCTGGCTCAAATGATCAGTGTACAATATATAAAAGCCAGGTTATCAAAACGTTCTTAAGTGATGAAAGGGATATTCTTCCTTTGATGTATATGTAATTCCTGTCAAATCCACTCCTTGAAGCATTTATACACATGCTTAGCAGCAGCTCCTGGTGACAAAGTATGGCAGGGGTGGGAGGGAATATATGTGGGCAATGACAGAGTGGTTGAAATGGAGAATGCTCCTGCAATTCTGAGCTGCAAAGCAATCCATAGGAAGAAGTTAGGAAACTGCTCTGAGTTATACTGGGGGCTACTTTGCTCCCTGGTATAGCCCAGAATCTGGAAACAGTAAATATGCCATAGAGCCATCTTTGTCACCACTTCTCCTTGGCTGTGCCTCCTGACAGGTGGAGGACACAATCAAGCTCCTCCTAGTTCTCAAACTTAAACAAAAAAACGTGCCAGGCCTTACTTAGTAATACATTCTGTTTCTTTTAACTTATAGAATGTAACAGAGAAATATATCCTTTCTATAGAATTCTAAAACCAGCCTAGAGAATTTAATAGGAACACTCTGCTATACTGATTTCTATAAGCTGGTTTAAAAAATTCTGAAAGGCAGTTAATCTTTCTCTATTAAACTCAGTAGGATTTTCACATAAAAGAGCAGCCTGCCCAAATAAAGTCCTGCCCAAAACCTCCCCCTCACCTCAGAAAAATCTGACAATAATAAAACAAAAACATCACTATCAAAACAAACAGACCCTCCATATTACACATTACAGTATTTCAAACATCAAGATCTGGAACTCTGGCAAAGAAGTCTGTCCTTACCAGATTTCCCGTCTAATGTTTGTGTCTACAAAGAGGTTTGTAAAATGGTTGGTGCATTCACTCCATTTGTTCAATAACATACTACATAGTTACTACTTACATTCCCTTCTAACTACAAGGAAAAAAGTAAATATCACTCTGTGGTAACTATCCAAGGCTGAAGTCTAAATAACAACCAGTGAACTCTTTTCCCTTCCTTTTAATTTGTCAGCACTGAAAGGTATTACATTTAAGGTTGAAGCAGATTGTCATGTGTACCTTTACCAGCAATTATTTTTTGTAACAGATTTATTTTCAAAGAACAGTCCTATTATAGAACTTATTTTATTGATTTGCTTCCAATTATGATCCTAGATCAGGTGAGAGTTGCACAGCTTCCCTTGGTCAATTTAATTGGCCTAGAAGCTGCACAGCATCATTAGGTCAATATAATTGGCCTAGTTATTTTACAAAACTGCCATAGGTTAACTAATTAGACCTATTTTTAAAGCTGCCTTTTGCAATTCCTCTTTTTGCCCAATTTACCTAGTGATGCAGGCTTTCAAACAGGCAAGCCAATAAGAGACAAAGGAAGTGTAAATAAACAGACAGCAAGAAAATTGGCCATAAAGTTGGAAAGATAGCAGTAATGAAACAAATATTCTCAAAACACTCTTTTCTATATTTGTGACTTTTTATTATCCTGGATAACATGGATAATAGAAGCAGATACAAAGTAAACAATCACAATCTATTGTGATGGATACCCTTGTTCACTGACTATTTGAATTCACTTTAAATTTTGACATTTAAGAAAGAATACTACTATTAGATTCTTAGTGTAAAGTTCTATGTGATATAAAGACTGAAAGGATGGAATTAGGATACAAGGTAGTCATATATCATAGCTGAAGTGAAGAAAATTAAATTGAGCCTGTTTGGTTATATGTTTAGAATAGAAAACAGCTGTTTTCCAAGAGAAGAAGGGGTAAGTTGATAGAAGCTGAGAGTGTGATGGATAAAGGCAGAAAACAACTTGAGTGTGAGTAGAGCTAAATGAAGCACTGATAGCAAAAACCAGAAAACTGAAACAAAAGGGTCAAGTCTGCTATTAATTGTAATAGTGTATTTGTGTAAGACAAGTGGGTATCACATGTATTTTACTTGTTACACAAAGTAATAGTGTAATAGGTAGTAACAATATATTGAATGGTTTCAGAGTAACAGCCGTGTTACTCTGTATTCGCAAAAAGAAAAGGAGTACTTGTGGCACCTTAGAGACTAACCAATTTATTTGAGCATAAGCTTTCGTGAGCTACAGCTCACTTCATCGGATGCATATATCCGATGAAGTGAGCTGTAGCTCACGAAAGCTTATGCTCAAATAAATTGGTTAGTCTCTAAGGTGCCACAAGTACTCCTTTTCTTTTTGCAAATATATTGAATGAGAACACCTAGGATTCTGTAGTGTGACTAAACACAACCATAATCTAGAGTGTCTGACATTCATTACTAAGGATAGATGGAGTACTTCAGACAAAATGTAAACAAGCCCAAACCTTCACCCCAAACTTGAAGTGAACTGAATCCATATCTTCTTGCTTGAAATATGATTACTTTTCCTGTTTTAATATATTTCTATTGCTGTGACTACACAGCACTGTACCATAGAGAACTGTACCAAGCCAGTCTTGAAGAAATGACAGTCTAAAAGCATACAGCATAGACCAAATAGAGACACACAGTAATCATAGCTAGAATCCTTCATAGAACGGATGGAGAGACAGAAGCTTTACTTGTTCCAAGAGTGGAGGGCACCATGAAAGAGGACATGAAACTGAGAGCAGGAACAAGATACAAAACATTAAGCAAAGGAAGACTTAGTGAGAGAGAGTTATTTGTCCCCCTTTGTTCTCAATCCACAAAGAATGTGAGGCTGTTATGGACTCCAGCTGCAGCTCTTTATCTCAGTCTGTGGAGATTCATGCTTCTAGATCTGGAGGTACCAGATGTAAGCTCGACTGTAATGGCCAAGATGGTGACTGTTATACCCATATAAGTGTACAAGTTCACTTGAGGGAGATTGTTTCAGCTGTTGGGCCTCTCTCATTGTTATTTTTCTTTGTCTATGTTACGCAGAATTGCTTTTTCATGTCACATGTTTTAATCTGATCATAACACACATAAGAAACCACAGAGACAATTATTTTAAACAGGCAACCTATATTTTGGTAATAATTCAGTTTTATAGTCATTTTTTTTTTAAATGTAAGCTTCCAGCATCCATTCACACAGATTCAGAAACATGGGCATACTGTGTAAGGGATTGTATATGAAATAGTGATTTCTAAACAGCATCTTGATGCTAGCTGTTGGTGAACAAATGCGCACAGTGTGTGTCCCATTCATCACAACTTGCTAGCTCTTCCAAGAACTATGTATCAATTATGTGCTCTTTTCCTCTTTTGGAAAGTTATATTCAAGCTCCACAAATATATTTTAAACTTTTCAGCCGTGAATCTTTTCTGATGGACTAAAGCATTGTGTACTATACATCTTTTATGTGCATGCCCATTCTAAGTTCATTCATAGTATATTTTCAGGCTTTTATGTACCACAGCTTTTAATTCTCAGCTTTCATGAATACCCAAAATTTGTGAGGTTGTTTACTGCACTTGAATAATGCTCAGCAGAACCTACTTTAAAGCAGCCAGATAAAAGTCAAGCAAGTGTGAAGAGTACAAATTGTAATTCTTAATGGTGTGAGAAAATAGCCATAAAGCTATTTAAAATGGCTGGAATTATAGGTCCATATATCTGGGTCACGTCTGTCATTTGCAAATGGATGCTTTTTTATCATAGCCCTATTTAAATAAAGCACTATTTTTAATATGCTGCTTAAAGGATCCATTTGAGAACTACTAACGTAGATCTATGAATTAGGAATGAACATGCTCATCTTATCCTTTTGAAAGATAATATTATCATCATACACACTGAACACGAGTGGTATCTCTGAAATTGAATTGTCTCACTAGTCTCCAGTGTGTCAAGATTTATTTATTTTATCTTACTGAATTCATGATGAAACAATTTATAACTTCTTCCATGGCTTTAGATCTCTTTTAGGATTTTTTTCAGGCATTTCATTTTTAAATTGCTAAACCTCATATCATACAGCACCAAAAAACGAGAGGAAAGTTATAAATATGAAAATTTATAGTTTTCTTTGCCCTCTGTGACTCAGGATTTATTTCTGCAATCAGCTGCATATCATGAAGTGATCCAATGAAGTACTGAAATAAATTAATTTCTTATCTTACCGGCAATAATAGCTCTGCTGCTGATCTACACAAGTAGCGTTATTTAAGCAAGGTGATAACTCACATGGTCCCAACACACTATCGCAGAACTTGCCAGTGAACATTGGCAAACAGATACATGCCACATCCTATGGAAGTGAGAGAAATTAGAAAAAAATATTTGTCACATTCAAGGCAATTCAGAAATTCTTTCCTTCTATTGCAGTTGAAGTCCCGACTAGATCTGAGCCCCACTATACTAAGCACTATACAAAGGCAGCATAAAAGTCAGTCCCAGCCTCAAGTAGTTTACAGTCATAATTTAAGAAAGGGGAAGCAGGCCCGTATGCCTCCAAATACAGATTACACCAGGAATGAGTTTCCTAACTGGAATTGTACCAGCTCTGAATTTGCCTGGCATTATGATTTCACTATTGGCTCCAGCAGAAGGAGAATTTTAGTTTGTACGGTTTTTCTTCTTCTAAATTTGCTCACGTGTGAAAGTTTCTGTCTACCGGTATAAGCTATACAAACAGTTATGGTGAACAACTCCAAAAAGAGCAGTAGATATTGTGACAGGGTCAGGCTGGATGGCTACAGGAGAGATATATTAGCCCCAGGTTAAGTAGGTCCCTTTTCCCTGGGTAAGGTAACAGGGAAGGTTCCAGAACAATCAGGAACCTTCTGGAGACAATTAAGACGGACAGGCTGATTAGAACACCTGCAGCTAATCAAGAAGCTGCTAGAATCAATTAAGGTAGGCTAATCAGGGCACCTGGGTTTAAAAAGGAGCTCACTTCAGTTCGTGGTGTGCATGTAAGGAACTGGGAGCAAGAGGCGCTAGGAGCTGAGAGTGAGAACGCAGACTGTTAGAGGACTGAGAAGTACAAGCATTATCAGAAACCAGGAGGAAGGACCTATGGTGAGGATAAAGAAGATGCTGGGAGGAGGCCATGGGGAAGTAGCCCACGGTGTTGTAGCTGTCGGTCAGCTGTTCCAGGAGGCACTCTAGACAGCTGCATTGCACAGGGTCCTGGGCTGGAACCCGGAGTAGAGGGCCGGCCCAGTTTCCCCCCAAACCTCCCAACTCCTGGTCAGACACAGGAGGAGTTGACCTGGACTATGGGTTCATGATAACGGCCAAACTGAGGGCTGCCGTGAAACTCCAAGGCGAGCAAATCCGCCAATAAGCGCGAGACCCACCAAGGTAGAGGAGGAACCATGTCACAATATCTAATTCATGAAAGGAAATAGCTTATACCTTTTTTTTCTTAAAGACTAACAGATTTATTTGGGCATAAGCTTTCGTGGGTAAAAACCCCACTTTATTTTACCCACGAAAGCTTATGCCCAAATAAATCTGTTAGTCTTTAAGGTGCCACTGGACTCCTCGTTGTTTTTGTGGATACAGACTAACACGGCTGCCCCTCTGATACTTGACATTTTTTTCTTTCTCTCATCATGAACCAAGTACAGTGGGTTTGAAAGACAGCTGTCAATTAATGTAATCTACTATTTACCCAGTAGGGAGAAAAAGACATTTTATAGTAAACAATGTATTGATATTGACATTCTGACCTTTATATTTCTAATAGGGTATTATTTACATTTGTTTTGATTTTGGTTTCTTCTAGGGGAGTAGGCAGTGTTTGCAAAATTGTTTCTTCACAGTCAGTTATAGGAGCATCAGCACAGAGCTTTATTCTGATCTTAATCTTTTGCGGATGATACCAAGCTGGGACGGATACTTGCAAGTGCTTTGGAGGATAGGATTAAAATTCAAAATGATCTGGACAAACTGGAGAAATGGTCTGAAGTAAATGGGATTAAATTCAAGAAGGACAAATGCAATGTACTCCATTTAGGAAGGAACAATCAGTTGCACGCATACAACATGGGAAATGACTGCCTAGGAAAGAGTATTGTGGTAAGGGATCAGATTAGGCCTCAACTGGAGTATTATGTCCAGTTCTGGGAACCACATTTCAAAAAGGATGTGGACAAAATGGAGCAAGTTCACAGAAGAGTAACAAAAAATGGTTAAAGGTCTAGAAAACATGACCTATGAGGGAAGATTGAAAAAAAAAAAAAAAAGGTTTTGTTTAGTCTGGAAAAGAGAAGACTGGGGCGGGGTGGGGGGGATGATAACAGTTTTCAAGTACATAAAAGGTTGTTACAAGGAGGTTGGGAAACAAATGTTATTCTTAACCTCTGAGGATAGGACAATACGCAATGGCCTTAAATTTCAGCAAGGGAGGTTTAGGTTTGACATTAGGAAAATATTCCTGTCAGGTTGATTAAGTACTGGAATAAATTGCCTAGGGAGATTGTGGAATCTCCATCATTGGAGATTTTTAAGAGCAGGTTAGACAAACATCTGCGAGGAGTGTCTAGATAATACTTAGTCCTGCTATGAGTGCAGGGGACTGGACTAGATGATCTCTCGAGGTCCCTTCCAGTCCTATGATTCTATGATTCTGTGCATATGAACATATAATTGTATACACATATAAAATAAACTACTGCATTGCACCTCATAAATAATTGATTGTACAGAATGCACAAGTATGTGCTTATACATTTCATATAAGACTCAAACCCTAAAAGTACAGGATATTTAGACAAATAGGTATGAGATATTTATTCAGCTACATATGTATATGTGTGTGTGTGTGTACCACAGACATTCAATATACAATTACAATGATTAACAAGCTCTAACACTTTTCTTTGCATATCTTGACTCCTAAATTATTGTTAATCTTCACATGAGTACACTAATGAGAGAACAAGAACATAGAGATTTGAGATAATGCCAATCAAGATATGCTCTTATATCAAATATTTTCCTGCTCTTCCTAAATTTATACTACAGTTTGAAAGACAGCTTTTAAAAAAGAATTACAAACAAAACCAAAAATCAACAACACCACACTCACAAAGAAAACAATATGAAATGTAGCATGTTTTATATAGACATTTTTTGTTTTGCAGGGATTAAAATGAAATTAAACTATTTTGTTTATTCCTTAACTAAACTCTAAACAAGTGATAGGAAACATAGGAAAAGTACAAGTGATGGCATTCTTTTTTAACTAGGAATGTTTCTGTTTTATAAGCACCATATACATAGAAAATATTTTATGAATTATTCTTATACAGTATGAAAAATGTATTTAAACAGTCATATTATTAGAGTTTAAATGTTTTGACTTTATGGACTAGTGTATTTGTATGACATTTAGACTTACATTTGGCATATCAACGCATGTAGCTCCATTCTGACATGGCCTTGAAGAACATTCATTGACATCTTTTTCACAGTCATGGCCAAGAAATCCAGCCAGACATTCACAAACATATTCATGCTCATTATTCTGGCATATCCCCCCATTCAGGCATGGTTGAGAAGTACAAGGCTCAAGGGGCTCCTCACAAAATGCACCTAAATGAAACAAGAAAAAAAGTTAGACAGTGGGTGTACTGAGATCATTGCCCATCCAAGATTCCAAGGCCAGATCCTTGGACCATTGTAATAATCTAATCTGACTTCCTCTGCAATACAGGCCATAAAACTTCCCAAAAATAATTATCAGAGCATATCTTTTGGAAAAACAATTGTCAGTGATGGATAAATTGTTCCAATGGTTAATTACTCTCACCGTTCAAAATATACTTCTTATTTCCAGTCTGAATTTGTCTAGCTTCAACTCCCAGCTACCGGATCGTATTATATCTTTCTCTGCTAGATTTAAAACCCCCTTATTAAGTATTTGTTCCCCAATCCTTACAGATTGTAATGAAGTCACCCTTGCCCTTTTCTTTGTTAAATTAAACACATTGAGCTCCCTCAGTCTATTACTATGAGCCATGCATTCTAAAAGTAATCATTCTTCATGGTGGTTCTCTTAACCTTCTCCAATTTATCAACATTCTTCTTGAATTATGGACACCGGAACTGGACAGAGTATTCAAGAAGTAGTTATACCAGTGCCAAATACATGTTAAAATAACCACTTGAACCTTACTCGAGAGTCCCCTGTTTATGCATTTCTCATCGCCTTAGCTCTTTGGGACACAGTTTCACACTGGGAGCTCCCGGTCAGCTGACTCTCCACCATGACTCCCACATCTTCTACAGAGTCATTCCCTCCCAGGATAGAGTCTCCCATCCCATAAGTATGGCCTACATTTTTTGTTCCTAGATGTACACCTACTGTTTGTGCCCAGTCCACCAAGTGATCGAAATTGCTCTGAATCAGCGACCTGACCTCTTCATTATTTATCATTCCCCTGATTTTTCTGTCATCTGCGAACTTTATCAGTGATGATTTTATGTTTTCTTCCAGGTCACTGATAAAATGATAAATAGTGTAGGGCCAAGAACCAATTGCTGATGGACCTCACTGGCCTCACCTGTTCCATGATGAACCCCCATCATGTGATTCACAACCATCTGCTTGTTATCTTGTGCTCCCACTGTCTGTAGCATTCACTGAAACACTTACTAACATACACATAATAGTCATCAAATGTGTGTATGTGATGCAACAAAACCTACAAGGAGCAACCTAATATCCCACTTGATTTATATTACATAGAAAACAGCTGCCAGAACAAATATTTTGCAGTAAAATGGAGGTTGCAGATATAGGGCTAAACTCTCACCTACACTCTTTGGCTTCACTGGAACTATTTGTTTCAGTAAGGTGAAAACATTGGGCCATTTGCTTTAGGAAATACTATTTTTTCCCTCTAGCATAAGAGAATGCCCAGTGAAACCCTGGCTGAAAATGTTCTATTCCTCATCACCATAGTAACTGAGCATGTTATACTTTATTATACTGTACCCTAGAAGCACTCAAAGATGACTTACTTTTGGAAACAGATAGAGGCTACATCTCAATGCTTATCATAATGAATTTCCCTTCAGCTTTAGACAGAGCTGACAACAGGGTGCTTTTGATCAACATACATGCCATAACTGAAGTAGACAGCACAGCACTACCATGTCTTCAATCATTCCTCCCAAAGGGAACCCAAAGAGTAGAGCTCCACTACCCAGAATAACTGAACTCTTGAGCTGCTCCCACTCCTGTCCCAAACCATGCTCCCTCTCTCAGGGGCTGCGTGTGGGCCAGTGCATGTTTTTATATGCCGACCCTACTCAGCCACTGTCCCAAGAAAATTCTCCCCTTGGTCATTGCATCCCCTTAACAGATACTATGGCCAATCTCCTCAAATGTATTTAGTCTTGTAACTTCCATTGATATCAGTGATTGTTAAGAGCCCAAATACCTTTGAGCATTTGGGCCTGTATTCCTCTAGAGAGGGGAAGATTGTTTGGTCAATATTTTTTTTTCTTGTCAACCAATTTTTTGTCACAGTGTGAGCTGGACCTATAAGAAGGGTTGAGGTTCTAGCTCTCAACTGTAACTGGTTTCATCCCAGATCACACAAGGACTGTAGGCTGAGAGAAAAACCTGCTGAGAAAGGGTATGTAGTATGTGGAAGACAGACACTGTTCTCCAGATTAAGGAGGCACTGGGGGAGAGAAGTTGCTTATTGGGGAGACTCTCTTCTGACAAAGGTCTGTGTAAGGTGGTGCCCTGTTGAAAAGGATCCAGAGAAATGGCTGAGCCTAAGAGTGGCTGAGCTGCAGATTCCTGGGAAAGGACCAAGAAGAAGGTCTAGGAAGAGACAGGTAAATATAGGAAGTTCCCAAGGGAGAAGTAGCATAGGGCAGTTTCCGGTAACCTGGTGCTTCAAGTTTTAGGGTCCCAGGGCTGGTAGAAGAATACAGACACCCCTACTGCATCACCAGTGGTGGCGTGGAAATTCCTGCTACCAGGGGGGATGAATAAGGAAGGCAGATGTGGCCTGGGAATGTCAAAGGACTGGAAGAGTCCCCCTTCACTCCTTTGCGGCAAGCGGAGAAGACCACACATACAATACTTACCCTGGGAAGAGGAGGCAAAGAATGGTGTCTTCTTTTTTGTTACCCTGGAAAGGAAAGTGTTTTTTATTTGGTCAGAGGGTCAGTCATCTAACCGGCTCAAGGGAGACCATCTTAAGTGAGGAAACTGAGACAGCAGCTGCACCCACAGGCTGTGAGGTGAGGCATACTTTCACACCATCATAGCTCTATCCATTCTGCTTGTTGAGTCAAATAAGAGTTGGGGACAAGTACCAGAACATTACAGGAATAACTCAGTACTGCAGCGCATCAGTCATTTAATGATTGAACTTGTCACTTGGTTCAGTATTCTGCTATGTTACAATTTCCTGTATTCAACATCTTCTGTGAAAAAAGCAGGACTGGTGCTTTTTCACCTGAACACTCATATATGATGGAAAGTTTGAAAAATCAGATCAATAAAGGGAATTTTGGTGAGACGTCGGAGACAATGCCTTGAGTCCTTTATTCCAGAACTTGAACTCTGAGCCATATGTTTTCTAAAGAAGATTGAGAGGTGACTAGCAGGTACTAAATTAACAGGTACTAAATCTAGTGGAGAAAAACATAACAAAATCCAGAGACTGAAAGCTGAAGCCAAACTCTAATTCAAATTGGAAATAATGAACAAAATATGTAACAGTGAAGGTGATTAATCACTGGAACAAACTACCAAGGGAAGTGGGGATTATCCATCTTTTGGAGACTTCAGATCAAGTCTAGATGCCTTTCTGGAAGACATGCTTTAGTCAAACACAAATTATTGGGTTCAGTACGGGGTGGCTGGGTGAAATGTAATGGTCTAAGATAGAGATCGGCAACCTTTGGCACGCAGCCCATCAGGGAAATCTGCTGGCATGCTGGGACAGTTTGTTTACCTGCAGCATCTGCAGGTTCGGCTGATAGCAGCTCCCACTGGCTGCAGTTCGCCATTCCAGGCCCATGCAGGCTGCGGGAATTGGCGCGGACTGAGGGACTGCTTCCGACAGCCAGTGGGAGCTGCGATTGGTTGAACCTGTGGATGCTGCAGGTAAACAAATTGTCCTGGCCTGCCAGCGGATTTTCCTGATGGGCCGCGTGCCAAAGGTTGCCGGTCCCTGGTCCAAGAGGTCATTGTAGATGATCCAATGATCCCCTGTGACCTTAGACTATATGGATCTATTTTGACATATAGCATGTACCATATCCTTCTACAGGATGTGCACAATATAGGTGTTCTAAAGATAATCATCTTCACAAATATTCATCAACGGAGATTTATTAGCAACATTTTGGGGTCATTACAATATACCAGGTTGCACCAATTTACACATTAGTAAAAAATAAGAGACCTGGGGGAGGAAGGACATCCTCCTGAACCTCACTCATAAGTATGAACCTTTGACATTCACCAACAAAACCTTCTGGACACCTTCCCAGATGCAAACTGAACTATTGTGCATGGCACTGGTAAAGAGAACAGAAAATGTGGATGCTATTCAACTGTTGAAAGGGGGGAAATGTTGAAGAATAAATAAGCATAAACTCAAGCCAAGAAAGATGAACTGAAGGGAGGAGAATTTTCTTATGCAACATGTAATTTTACTGTGAAATGAAACATTGATACAACCTGCAAGTACAGCAGGAAAATATTTTTAAAAACTCAGACAATCCAAGGCTTATATAGAAAGGGCAATAGCTAGGTACCAATAGCTGGATAGATTTGCTTCATGATCTTTTTCTATGCATAGATATTAATGGAATGTTAAATGCCCAAACCTCAAAGGTGCTGAGCACAAGCTACTCCCAGTGAATTCAACAGAAAGTGTAGGTGGCAGAGGTGAAAGTAAGACGGTACGCCCTGGTACAGCATACCAGCAAGAGCTGGTGCACCGTACTGGGGCAGCCCGGCTTCCCCAGGGGGCAATTTAAAGGGCCTGGGGCTCCCAGCAGTAAAGCTGCTGGAGTCCTGGGGTAGCGGCTGCAGGGCTCCGGCAGCTATTTAAAGAGCCTGGGGCTCCCCTGCTTCTACCAGCCGGGCCCTTTAAATAGCCACTGGAGCCCCGCTGCCGCTACTCCAGGGCTCCGGCGGCTATTTAAAGGACTGGAGTGGTAGAAGCAGGGGAGCCGCGGGCCCTTTAAATAGCCCCCGGAGCCCTGGGTTAGCGGGAGCTCCAGGGGCTATTTAAAGGGCCGGGGCTCCAGCTGCCTCTGCCGCCCTGGTCCTTTAAATAGCCGCTGGAGCCCCGCCGCTTCCCCAGGGCTCCGGCGGCTATTTAAAGGGCCATGGCGGTAGAAGAGGGGAGCCCCGGGCCCTTTAAATAGTCCCCGGAGTCCTGGGCTACTGCTGCTACCCCGTGGGGGGGCACTTACCTTACAGGGTGGGCTGTGGCCGGCTCTGACCCCCTCAACCCCACCCCTTCTGCCCTAGGCCCCGCCCCTTCCGGGGGCCAGAGCTGGCCCCAGAGTACCAGTAAGTCACTTGACTTACTTTCACCCCTGGTAGGTGG